TAAGATGGAGAGAGTGAGGGAGAGGGCAGGGTAGGAGATGAGGCTTGAAAACCTGGGCGGAGACCAGAGTATGCAGTAGTTTATGACCATGTTGAAGATTTTAGAAGCTATTGAAAAATTTTAAGTATACGCCCAACTTGTGCATAGATGGAACAAATAATATGCTTTCATGTACTTTGTGCAAGTATGTTAATTTCAGATTCATAAACATACTGTTGTGGTGGATATAATACAAATTTGTTGCTTCTTAGCAGCTTAATGCATTTGTTAACCTGCAAAAAAGCCCAAGTATAATGCCTTCAAGTGAATATTTTATTGTGAAAAGGAAGTTTTTATTCACAGAGATTGAGAACTTATTCCAAGATGAAAAGTAACCATTTTCAGCCAGATTAGTGGCGCACACCTGTAGTCTTAGCTACTTGGGAGAGGTGAGGATCATAGAATCATGAGTTCCAGACCTGCCTAGACAAAGTTAGAAAGACCCTATCTCAAAAACAAAACACAAACAAAAGGCTCAAAGGGTAGAGTGTTTGCCTAGCATGCATGAGCCCGTAGGTTCAGTCCCTTGTACCACAAAAAATAATAATTTAATTTAATTTAAAAAATAATCTTCACTAGCATTTTTGACTGATGGAGATTGGATTCTATATATAATAGGTTTTTCAGTTTTAGGTATGTTTTGCTTTTCTGCTTCTCCTAGCTTAGCTTTTCGGTGACCTTAATTGTAACATTTTAATTCATGTTGATTTCAAGTAAATTATATATGAAACTTCAAAGTCATAGCAGATATAAAATAATACAATAATTAATTCTGTTTGAGCAGTGACCTAAAATGAATGAAATGTGTCCAGACTGGATATAACATATGTTAGATAGTTTCTTGTACCATAACAGAAGTGATGTTCAGACCTGTGCTGTTAGACAGAAGTACATAGGTTAAAAGCAAGGAGGAATGAGTAAGTTCTAGAAACTCTAAGCTGTGACTTGGGAATCCCTGAAGTTGGAAAACTTCTTATCATTTGCAGGACAAATAAATGCCTTGACATAATAAGGGATTTGCCAAGTGGGATTTGTGTGGCTTTTATATTCCAGTTCCTAGCAAGTGTCAAGATAAGAGTATTAGTGAGGCCTGAGTCTATTTTTAAATCATTTGAATATGGAATTGTTTTCCTGTGAATTTGCAGTTCTAAATAAAAATAAAATATACTTCAATCACCACTTTTCATTTTGTTCTATAGGAATTTGATAAAGAAGTTAAAAGTTTTGTGTTTGTCTTAGAAGGGAGCAGTCAAACAAACAAAATTCAGTTACCAAAGGAGCATAAGCAAATCCGTAAGTGAAATTTTTAATATCAAAGCTTAACACTTAATAAAGTTATGCTTTTATATCTTATAAACATGCATATTAGTATGACTTTTTCTGGTATCTGTTAATGTGAAGTAACATGATTTTTTCTAATAAAGTAATTATATGCCAGGCCCTATGCTAAGTATTTTTAAAATATGTTCTGCCTATCTACTAGAAATCTAACATTTACAATATTATTTAATAATCATTAATTAACTATAGTAGTAATAGTATTTATTGAGCACTGACTCTGGACTAGGAACTTTCTAAGCATTTTATATTCAGTAACTTTTAATCCTCATAATAGCTCTTTTACAGAAGAATAAACTGAGGTTGGTTCCTCAGCAAAACTCAGGCAGTTAAGGCTAAATTTTGAAATAAACTCAGGAGTTACTAAATTACAAGAAATTAATCTGTGAGAAAAATTATCAAAAATACTGTAAAAGACATTGTTAGTAAATCCAGCTTCTTAGGAAGCAGAGATAGGAAAATCAGCATTTGAGGCCTGCCTGGGCAAACAGTTAGCAGGCCCCAAAGTCAAAGAACAAGCTGAGGTAGGAAGATCATAGTCTGAGGCCAGCCCTGGGCAAAAGTGCAAAACCCTATCTAAAAAATAACCAACGCAAAAAGGGTTGGAGCCACAGCTCAAGTGGTGGAGTGCTTGCCCAGCGAAGTGGAAGACCCTGAGTTCAAACTCCAAGACCACCAAAAAAAAAAAAAGACATTATTTATAACATAATAACTCATATACCTTTAGGATTATTAATATCTAGTAAGTATGGATGTGAAAAAAAGCCCAAAGAGTTGATTGCAATTATTATTTACTCTGGAAATTAGCATCAGTATTTTAAAGTAGAAGGAACCTTGAGAGTTCTCCTAAATTTATGATCAGAAGTATAGTTGTTGGCAAAGATGAGGTTAAAAATCAAGGCTCTGCCACCACATGAGGCTTTGATTTAACTGATGTAATTTAAGGCATAGAATTTATCAAAATAATTAATCAGATCTTCCTTCGACTATGTCCTACATGTTAAATATAGATTTTAGGTGTTTAGAAAATATAAACACGATTCTTTTTTGTATTCATCATCTGCTTAGTCCTTCATTCATTGAAAACATTTATCAAAGCTGGACACAGTGGTATGCACCTATCATCCTGCTTAAATAGAATTGCAATCCAGGCCAGCTCCAGATACAAACACGAGACCCTATCTCAAAAATAACCAGAGCAAAAAGGGCTGAAGGCATGACTTAAGAAGTAGAGCACCTTAGTTCAAACCCCGGTACCACCAAAAAATAAAGGTTTATCAAATACCAGTATGTACCAGCACTATAGAAAGACCTGTTGTTGATACCTGACTTCCCAATCTTAACTCAGTTTTCTAAGCTTGCATAGACTCTCTGCTTTATGTACTACTTCCAGCTACTACATGCATGTTTTAGATTTCTAATACAAAAACCAAGCCATTTAAGTTATAAATGGAAGGTGATTTGTTCTAAAGTGGCTTATCAGTGTTTCTTTATAAACTAACTTAAAAAATAAAAATTCAAAAACAGAGATAATCATTGTTAAAAGGATTTTTATTGATTAATCACCATTAGTAAATCATTGTTTCCTCATAGTTCCTATTTGTGTGTGTGCATTTAATAGCAGTGTTTTTTTTTCATTTCCACATAAATTTATACTTGTATAGTAGGTGAACTAAGATGAGTGAGGGAAACATGTCTGAAACTGTAGTTTATTCTTAGGAAAGACAGTCCGTCTGTCTCAGGATAATGACTTTGAGAAACAGATACATTTGAGTTGTAGGAACATGACAGCTCTAAGCCATTTAGTTCTTTTGGTTTTTTTCTTATTGGTGAACTTTATAATGACCACTTGTGCTTCCATTTGATGCCTCAGTATCTATGCACATGGTCATATTATTAATAAAATCAATCATTTCTAATAACCTTCTCATCTGGTTCTGAGAAAGAATCTTCCTCTACCAAAGCCTAAGTGATTAAGCACAAACTCCCCTTTCCTACTCTTATCTAAAGGTTTTTTTTTCTTTCAGAAATCAAGCTTAATGTCTTATAATTACCTTTTTAAATGAAAAGATGGTAGTTTTTAATTGGAAGAAACAGAAGAATCTTTTAATGTATTTCTTGTACAATGCCCTGTAATTAAAAATTAATCTGGCATTTCTGTAGCACATGTAGCACTGTAATAAAAGAAACAGTTTATACAGTCTGCTCTGCACTAGTGCATTAGTTATTTGGAACTTTTGATAACAGAAATTTATAGTTATTTTTGCTTATATAAAATGACTTTCTGTGTGAGGTTGATAATGGTTAAATTTAAATTAAATGGCATGTCTTGAACAGAGAATTGGCTTTCAATTAACATTTCTAAATTAAGCTCAGTTATCATTATGTATTTCTATTTTAAGAGTAAACATGTACTTTATGCAAACTTGACATTTGGTACTTCATGTATGTTTCAGACTATATTAGGTACATAGGAAGAAAACTTAATGAAATTATGTATAGCTATTCACAAGTAGTAATATTTCTGAGTTATCTTATATTTCATGATTTCTAAATACATCAATTTTTTTTCACTTAGCATTATCAAATATGATATTGGTTATCAGATTAGGCACTTCTCCATGGCACGGGTTCTTGACTCATCATTGTAACCCTAACTTAGTGTCAGATACATAGTTGATGTTCATTAAGTTTGTTAAATTGGCCACAATAAGAAACTAGGACATGGTGGGTTATAATTTCTAATTGTAACCATTTGGTCTTGATAGGGAGACTTGAGTGAATCATTCACCAGTTAAATAAATCCCTGCTGCTCTTCTACATGGGCCATGTCATATGGAGTTGCCCATGTGGAAGCAGCTCTGTCACACATAAACATCTATGATTTGGAATGTCCTCTTCAGAATTTTCTGTTTGAGGCTAATGTTTGAAGCCATTGTTTTCTCTGCCTCTGGCATCTGTATCAAATGGTATCCTTGAGGCCTTGTGCCAATCTAAGTTTTTGCTGCTCTGGAGGATTAAGTCATCTTCATGAGGTTCTCTCAGGCCTCTTTGTACTCTCACTTTGCTATTTGGTATCCTTTGTAAAAATCATGATTTCCTCTGCTAAACCCTTCAGTGGCTCTGATCTCACCATTCTACTAAAGTGCTCTTATCACAGTCACTAATGACCTCTGAATTCCTGAATCCAGCAACCAAGTTCTCAGCTTTCATCTTACTTTACCTATCAGTAGCATTTGAGAAAGTGGACACCATCTTGGTGCACTGTCTTCATTCATCCTCCAGGATACTCAACCTTCTAGTTTTCTTCGTACTATACTGGTCTTTCTTAGTGTCCTTTTGTTCTTCTTCCCCCACCCCCACCCAACTTAATGTTGCAGTGCCCCTGGACTCCATCTTTGGCCCTCCACATTTACTCCCTCAGTAATTATCTTCGGGCTCATGGATTTAAATACCATCTGTCTTACTATAGCTTGCATTTCTAGTTCATACTTTTTAAACTCCAGACTTTTGAATCAACTGCTTATTTGACATTTCTACTTGGACAGCTTAACTGTAATATATCCCAAGCCTAACTCCTAATCTTTGCTCTTAGAAATTCTTCCTCTTCCTGCAGTCTGCCTTGTTCCAATGTTGGCAAATTATCTTTTCAATTGCTCAGACCAAATCTCTTAATTAAATAAGCTTCTATTTTTCTTCATTTTCATTCAGTCCATCAGGATGATCCTGTTGGCACTGGCACTATTTTTTAAAAAGATAGAGAATCTGACTACTTCTTGCCACCTCCAATGCTGCTTCCGTGGTTCATGCTTTGACTGTTGGAGTTTGTCTTCTAATTGGCCTTTCTGTTTCTGACTTGGCCTTCCTATAGTCTTGTCAAATCAGCAGTCAGAGAAATAATTTTAAATTGTAAATAGTATGTAAGTCATGTTACTCCAGTGCTGAAAAATGCCCTAGCTCTCAAAGTAAAAACCAAGTGTCTGTAGGACTGTGAAGTACCTGGTACCTGTGTAACTCCCTGACCTTATCTCCAATTACCCTTTCCCTTGCTCACTAGGCTCCAGCTATAAAGGATTCATTGCCGTTTTGAAACATAGCTTGGTGCCCTGTCACTTTAGCACCTGTGCACAGGTGCTACCCACTACATAGAGCTTTCTTTCCCCTAAGAGCAACATGGCTCACCTCTCCCCTCCATCAAGCCTTTGCTTAAATGTCACCTTCTCAATGAGAAGACCTATACTTAAGTTACAATCATGCATCATATCCCTTCTCCACTCTTTTGTTGTTGTTGTTCATTTATTCACATGTACATACACTGTTTGGGTCATTTCTCCACCCTGCCCCACTCCCCCACCCTTCCCCTGCTCCGCCCCTCAGTTCCAGGCAGGTCCCATTCTGCCTTTATCACTGCCTTCTCCACTCTTGATCTCTTTTACCCATCTCTACCCCCACCCCATCCAACATCCAAATCACCATTCAACGTTGCTGTGTAATTCTTAGGTTGGTTTATTGTTTCTCTTACCATCACCAGTAAGGAAGCCCCACTGGTAGAGATAACTGAGTCCATTTGTTCCCTGAGAACAGTGCCTGAAATATAACAGACATTCAACTAAAGCTTTACTGAATAAACTTTTGAGTAGCGTCACATGGATTTTAGATTGACGCATATCCTTCATATGGTCTTCAAGGCCCTCCACGATTGGGTTCTGACTTATCTCCTGCTTCTTTTCCTCTTACACTATCCCATTAAGCCTTTCAACATTCATTCCATCCACTGTGTCCTTTCCCATCACAGGATAGAGTATTCTCTTGCCTACAATATTTGTTCCTGTCTCCTACACCCAAACCCCTTGCCCTGTCTATTCCTGCTTATTCTCTCCAATGATTTCCAATGTTATTTCTTCAACAAAACCTTCACTTATGATCCTATTCCCTCCAAGAACCCAGGAGTATATGCTTTCCTAGAACCTTGACCTTTTCATTGATGGAATTAGAATATAAGTTCCAAACGGGCAGACCATGTCTATCTTATTTGTTGCAAAAACTTCAATGAGTTTTGCTTTGCATAGTAGGTGCTCAATAATCTTTGTTGAGTGATAGGGCTAATTTAATCCATACACATAATCCTATGACGTTTAAATCGAAATTATTAGCCCAGTTTCATAGAATGAAAAATGAAAGGACCCAGACAGGTTACTGATTTTCCCAAGGGACATGGACTAGTCCATAATGAAGGCATAACTGATTTTTGTTTTGTGTGTTGAGATGGGAGAGGTATACTTCAGTGTGCTCTTCATGCCAAAACTATGATAGGAACCATGGAATAATTTCTGTTGTGATTTTTCAGGGTACTTGTAAAGCATGACTATATAGTGGTCTCATCCCACGTCTTTGGGCAATGTAATTCTTGTAAAATGTATGTGAAGTTTACAAAATCTCCTCTGCTTTTGTGAAACCACTGTTTAAGAATCTAATAGCATTTTACCAGTTAACCATGTTTTAAAATATGCAAAAGAGAAAAGAGCCTGAGCCCTTAAAACATGAGCAGAAAACAGATTATAAAACTGCAGAAACCTGCATGTTTCAGGAAAAAAACTAAATCTTTATGTGTTTTATGTACTTCATGGCATCTTTTGACTTACAGTAGTTCCACATTGAGTGTTAGAGTGATTTTAAATACAATGGAGACATGAAGAGTCCATTTAAATTTACTAGGCCACTGGAACAAATATTCCTATGGAGTTTATTTAGCAATACTGACACACAAGATCAGTGTGTCAAATGTTATTAAAGTGCTTTTTTCTTTGTCAGATCATCACGGTGTGTTATCATCATACTTCTTTTAATCTTAGAAGTGAAACCTTTTGGAAACTAGGCTTTCTGTATGTGAGAAAGTTGAAGTACAAAGCTCTTTTGAGGGCAGAGATCTTTCTAAAAATGCCCTAGAAGTGAAGTTCTTTGTGTTTGAAGGGAACAATACTGCTTCAGTGAGACTTGTGGCATAAATTAGGAACCTTTTTAAAAGACTGATTTCATTTATCCCAATGCTTTCTCAGCTCTGTTTACTCTAGAAGCCATTGTGCAAGTGACAGAACACCATGGACCAGTTAGTGCGAGGTGTAAGATAGATTGATGATGGCTTATTAAAGGTGGCCTCATTTGGGTATCTCACTTTGCTTTTGTAGATCACAACTCTTTTGCCTCACTGTCTTTCCCCATAAATATACTAGAATCAGATTCTTGGAGAATTTTCCAGGACCATAGCCTGTTAGCTCCTATTTCTGTTATATTGCTTACTCTACTGTTGACCAATTTATAAGCTTAGTACTTTTAAATAAAAGTTATTCCTGTATGTTTGATTAAAATATTATTAAGCATATTCAAACTAAATTTTGGATAAAACACAGAAACTAAGTTGCTCAGTAATGTTGCAACAACAGTTTACTATAGGAATCATAAACCAAAAGGGTTTGTGTGTGTGTGTGTGTGTGTGTATGTGTGTGTGTGTTTGTGGGGTTTTTTGTTTGTTTTGGTTTGGTTTTGTCATGCTGGGTTGGGGTACATTGTGGCACTTACAAAAGTTCTTAAAATATATCAAATATATCATAGTTGAATTCACCCTCTCCATCATTCTTTATGTTCTCCTCCTCCCATTCCTGAGGATATGGAGAAAGGGTGAAGGAGGATGAATATAGTGCAAATACTATGTACACATGTATGTAAATGGAAAATGATACCTGTTGAAACCAAAAGGTCTTTATATCAAGCTACCAGAAATGCATTGTTACTTTAAAATAATTAAGCTTGTTAAGCCTGCTAACTCAGAATAGAAAATAGCAACATTTCAGACGAATTGCTTTCCAAGAAGTTTTTAATCTATCTGCTGGCCTGTACTATTGACTTTATAGGAGGTTCACAGACAAAATCAAGATAAAAAAAGTTACTAAATTGCATGCTTTAAATGGTGTGATACTAAAACATCTGTTAAGAGCCTCATAATTGAGAAATCAAACAAGTTAAAAATCTAAGAGGAAAGGCATTATGTGAGTGGACCCAAAGGGGTAATATAAAATCTTAATTTTTTTAAGCAATTGTAGACTTCTGCTATCAAAAGTGCCATAGGGATTGGTTTTTCTCTGAATATTTTTAATCCAGGTGAAACTAGTGTTAGGGAATAAAAGCTATCAGTTCTTACTTACTGAGGATAAATTAATTAAAAGTGTATTGATGTTGGCGAGGATGCGGGGAAAAAGGAACCCTTTTACACTGTTGGTGGGAATGTAGACTAGTACAACCACTCTGGAAAAAAATTTGGAGGCTACTTAAAAAGATGGACATCTATCTACCATTTGATCCAGCAATACCACTCTTGGGGATATACCCAAAAGACTGTTACTCCAGAGGCACCTGCACATCCATGTTTATTGCGGCACTATTCACAATAGCCAAGTTATGGAAACAGCCAAGATGTCCCAGCACTGACGAATGGATTAAGAAAATGTGGTATCTATACACAATGGAATTTTATGCAGCCATGAAGAAGAACGAAATGTTATCATTCGCTGGTAAATGGATGGAATTGGAGAACATCATTCTGAGTGAGGTTAGCCTGGCTCAAAAGACCAAAAATCGTATGTTCTCCCTCATATGTGGACATTAGATCAAGGGCAAACACAACAAGGGGATTGGACTATGAGCACATGATAAAAGCGAGAGCACACAAGGGAGGGGTGAGGATAGGTAAGACACCTAAAAAACTAGCTAGCATTTGTTGCCCTTAACGCAGAGAAACTAAAGCAGATACCCTAAAGCAACTGAGGCCAATAGGAAAAGGGGACCAGGAACTAGAGAAAAGGTTAGATCAAAAAGAATTAACCTAGAAGGTAACACCCACACACAGGAAATCAATGTGAGTCAATGCCCTGTATAGCTATCCTTATCTCAACCAGCAAAACCCCTTGTTCCTTCCTATTATTGCTTATACTCTCTCTACAACAAAATTAGAGATAAGGGCAAAATAGTTTCTGCTGGGTATTGAGGGGGGGCGGGAGGGGTGGAGTGGGTGGTAAGGGAGGGGGTGGGGGCAGGGGGGAGAAATGAACCAAGCCTTGTATGCACATATGAATAATAAAAGAAAAATGAAAAAAAAAAATAAAAAATAATTAATAAATAGGAAAAAAAAAAGTGTATTGAATTAACTAAAGGTATCATAAATGAAAATATGTTGCTCCATCCATCTCAATATTTAAACACATTTAAAACCATATGAACTAGATATGGCTCATGAAAACTTCGGTTGTAGTTATCACAATTAGAATTGCTTTTTTGATCTATTGTTCTTTATTAAGTTGTTGAGTACAATTAAAACTGTCATTGAATAAAAATAATTGCCACATACTTTATGGCCACTTTGATGAGCATCTATAGTTCAATTTTATATGTCTCTGTCAAGTGTGTAGTTTTATGTGTACATTCTCTTGCAGTCTAATAAAAATAGTAAATAAAATATTATTTTTTAAATTTTCATAAAAATTTCACCAGTGCCACAGATGGGGCTTTAAAAGGTAACATTTGTTAGAGTTGGATTTGACATTCATCAATTTTTTTCATTTCATAATGAGGTTATAGCTCAGGGATAGTACTATTGCAGGTCTGTATCTTCTTGAAATGCTAAAAGCTTTAGCTTGTTGATGGCGTGTGATTGTGTTTATGTTCACATATAAGTGGCTTGAACATTTGAATGTATATTTTCCCCCTCTCTTTCTAGTTGGACTGATCCAGAGGTTTCTTGTACTTCAGATTTACATACCCCTGGGACAGGACTTCTCCACTGAATTGCTGTAAGATATATAGAACTTCTTTGAATGTTTTATGTTATTAGACATTTGATCAATTGCAGTACCAACAGTCATTAATTGCAAGTGGCAGTTTTTGCATTAAATAGCAGTGACTTATCAAGTCGACATGAAGTAATTAAACTAATTTAATCGTATTTCTTAGGTATCAGTATACTCTAGGCATTTCTCTAGGGAAAGAAAGCAAATTTCATGTTTAAAAAGATATCAAAGAATTATGATTTTGACAATAAATATCCTGTAACATGGAGAAATATATCATTTAGTGAGATTTGGGTTCAAGTGAAGGGTAATGTTATATTTTATACTGTTTGCTGTTCAAAACTATGGTTGATTTAAAATTATTAAAATACCTAATTTAAATAATATTTATAATAGTTCGGATATTGGTTCCTCCTCTCTACATATAGACAGTTTGGAATATACCTTGCTAGATTGTTTAGCAAAAAATGAAAATATACAACTTTTACTCCATTGAGCTATCTATTGTGTTGAGATACTGTGCATGAAAATAACACTTGATTTGTAGACTCACATACAATTGAATTGAATATTATCTAAGATTTCATTAATACATTTGTAAACTTTAGATAAACCATTGCATTTTCTAATTTTTCTTTGTAATTAATAACTGTACAAGGTTTAAGCTTAGGCTTTTATTTTTTTATACTGGAACAAAAAATTTTTCTTACTAATGCAGATAATTTTGTACTAGTTGTACTGGTGCAAGCTAAAAAGGAGAAAAGAGCTTTCTTAAAATGAGAGTATCATAAACTTGTGATTATTCATTTCTCTATTTATATAAACTGAGATATTAATGACTGTGTTGTTAAAGTATGAATTTTAGCTGGTAAGATGCAATCTTGTTTTCTTGAATGATAAAGGAGCGTTAGAACAATTTATACCTTTGTTTTATTTCACCTTAAACCTCTTTAAGCTTCTAAGATCTTTTATGTTTTGCCATACTCACCAAGATTCTTTAAAATAGTTCTTAGAGTAAGAAGACCAAAGCATTATTTGATGCTCTTATGTACCACTTTCTGGCTCTGCAGAAAAAGCGTTTTAAAGACTCCAAAGACATTCTGAAGGTACAGAGAGTACCATATAAAGCTTTATTTTCAGTGCAGAGGAGAGTGGTTTCTGAAATGGAAGAAGGCAAATTATATTTTAAGCTTTCAAAGCTCCTTATATAGAAATCCAGTTTAGCTTCCTTTATTCTTATGATCTCTCTTCCACCTGTACTTTGAGCTTCCTCAGAAGCAATGATGGAGGTGGTGCCAGTTGGCCTTGTAATCAAAGCTGTGCAAGAAACTTGGCTGAACCTTAGAACAGAATATTTTGCCAATGAGACCTCTTTTTTTGATGCAAAATTAACTTTTATTTGTGCCCACAAACACTTAAGCATATCATCAAAGCCTAGGCAATATGTCCTTTTAACTACTTTAGTAACAAAGCTTTAATTATTGAGAAGTCAACAAGTATCTCAGTTTAACTTAGTCCTAGTAGGAGAGCAGCTGCTAACATAAGCAAACCTGACTACCTCTTTGTTACCCTATTACTAGTGCTCTTGGTCTGTTTAAGGATGGGAAAATATATTGAGAGGTGTTGAAATTGATTAGATTTTGAATTCAGTTCACTATAATCATTGATTCCTGTGTTCTTATGTGTTCTCATACTCATATGGACAAACATTTCAATTTTCCAAATGGTTTTATTTTTATAGTTTTAGCAAAATAAATGTCTTCTGGGAAAAAGTTTTAATTATTAAATAACATGGGGAAGACATTATCTGTCCTGACCTAATGAATTTATCAGATTAATCATAAGAAAATATATTAACTCTGTGTTTCAGTTTATTTCTAATAGATAATCAGAATATTTTGCTGTAATAGGAAGTAAAATGTCAGAGACCATGTTTTCACTAGAAGGAAACTAGAATGATGAGTAATAGATTCTCTTTCTAACCACAGCATTTTTTATTTTTTTCTTCCTTAAATGAAAGGACTTTCTTTCAGCACCCTTAGTGTTTAACTGTGTTTCTAGCAGCATAGCTCTAGGCTATTTTAAATAATACATTTCTCTAACAAGCTGGGAAAGTCACACAGCAGAAAGATATCTGGCTTCTAAAATTTTCCATTGTCAGAGTGGGAGAGGCATTTTGTTTCACAAAGGTATATCTTATACATCAAGGGGTTTTCATAAGTGGAGTCTTGCCAGCTGGTTTATGAACTTAGTAATCATTTCCTCAGCCTCTTCCTGTGTCTCTCATGCCCACTGGATGATTACTTGCTCAGGAGGAGATTATACATGTGGGTTAGTGGATGCCTTAGAGCCAACAACATCTCTGCATGAGGAAATCACTCTCCTTCATTCAGCAAACACATGCCTGAAGTCCTGTTGTTGTCAGGCAGCATGGTAGGCATGCGGGATTTGAAAAACCTTCAATCTGAACACCTCTCCCCCCTTACTGCTACCTCCGTGATTGCAAAACAGCATCAGAGTTCCCCTGAATGGCTGTTCTAGCTTCCCACTTGACTTCCTGGCTTCTCTCATCTTCTTTCAGTCTAGTCAACACAGAGCTATCTTTCTGAAAAAACAACTGAAATTCCCACTGAGCCAAGGATAAACCTCCGAATCCTATACACTCACCTTCTCCATTCTCATCTCATCTTATACACGCTGCTGTGAGCTCATGATTTGTCACCACACTGGCTCTTCTCAGCCTCAGAAATTTTTCCCTTTTATTGCCAAGTGAGGTCTCTTCTTAGAGTCTTGTGCACAGGTACTTTCTGTCCCCATCTTTTTGTCTTTTTGCCTAGCTAACTCCCTCTGAAGCCCTTTGCCCAAAGGCTTTTTTTTTTTTTTTTTTTTTTTGGTGATACTGTCCAAAGATTTTTTTGATCCCTTCCCTCACCCAGCCACGTGAGGTTCATCTCATATGCCATTTTCTAGCACCCTGATTCTTTCCTTTATTATAAATCTAAAAGTGTATACATTTAGTATACATTTTGAGTATACTTTGAGTTGCATGATGACAGAGATGTTCAACTCAGCATGATATTCCAGCATTTATCACAATGCCTGGCACAGAACAGACTGTGAAATATGAATGAGTGAGCAGGATGAAGGGCAGACTAATGAATGGGACTAATCTCTATCCTCATATACTTTATTCTCAGGATGAAAGATCAGTTCAAGTTTTGGTAAGTGTTATGATGACATAAGAGCAAGATTGGTGGGAGAACATGTGAAATGTGAGGTAGAAGAAAGAGTGTGAACTGATCTGCAGTCAAATTCTTCTTCACCTCTGGGGCTTTGGGAAGAATCCTTAACTTGCCTCACCCATGGGATGAGAGTAATAATATGTCACAGATTTGTCACAAGCACTAAACGAGAAGATTAGCATATAGCAATAATAATGACTAACATTTGTTAAGCACTTTCTATGTATTTAGGCATTAAATTATTCTAAGTACATTCATTCTTTTAGCTCAATTAATCCTCAGAATAAGCTGTGCGATGATCAAAATTAGTACCTGTTTTATCATTGAGGAAGCTGAAGTCCAGAAAGGTTAAGGAATTGGCTGGAGTTTGTAGACCTAGTAACTCTCAAAGCTAGGATTCAAATACATAATCTAAACCTAGAACCTGTGCTGTGTACCATCATGCCAGGCTGCCTTACTTGTAGATACTGTTATTTTTCTAATTTTACACATACATGAGTAGTAGACGTATAGTTAATGTTTATTTGGATTCAGTACAGATAGAAGTACTAAGGGGCTTTGCATAATAGTTTTACAATTAGAGTTCGGAGAATGAAAAGTCTTTCATGCTGAGATGTTTTGTGTTTATCCTTTTGAGAGATAGCTGCCTGACAGCTAAATAAAGAACTTACCCAAGTCTCTCTGGTTTTGTTTTAGTTCTTTTTATCTTCAATATGATAATATTCACATTAGACTTGTTTTAATGAAAACTAAGAAGTAACTTCCTCTTCTTCATTGATTCTATAGCGTTTAAAAGTTATGTTATTCAAAATCTTGCTCCTGTAGGTAAGTAAGATGGCTTCTGAGTTCCATGAGCTGACCAACAGTTAAGCAGACGCATTACATCTTGTATGTGGGGCAAGGAGAGTACTTACCATGCTAGCACACATACACTTAGCAGTAAAATAATAGACTCTTCTTTTTTGTTTTTGGTGCTGGGGTACCTCAAAACTCGCTAGGCAGGTAGCCACTCCACCAGCCCTTTTTGCATTGGTTATTTTTGAGATAGTATCTTGCTTTGTGCCCAGGCCACCTAGACCACAATCCTCCTATTTGTGCTTTCCCATGTAACTGGGATTACAGGTATGAACCACTACTCCCAGCCATTGGTTGAGATGGGGTTTCACAAACTATTTGCCCAGACTGACCCCAAACCATGGTCCTCCTGATCTCTGCCTCCCAAATAGCTGGGATTATAAACTTGAGTCACCATGTTTGGGTGCACCTGGCCCAGAATCCACTTTTATTTCTCTTTCAGTGTTGAGGTATCAATCCATAAGACTCCCCAGCTTTTCACAGAAGTTACTATGACTTGCTTATTTTGTAGTATTAGTGCAGTCTTCTTTTCCAAAGCATTTTGGTGTAACTGTGTCTGTTTGACTTGAAGATAAATGATTGAATAAACAACAGTTTTTTAAAAATTCTTTCATTTTTGTGTTATCTTCCAAACTGCATCATGAAGGCAGTAGCAAGCCAGTGGATCCCTGTGTGGGGTTGGTAGGTGTTTCAGAGCCTGGAGGCAGACAGCTGTGCACAGGAGGAACTCCCTAGACCTACGCTCTTGGAAAAGAACCAACTGCATCTTGAAATAGAAATCCATTTTGCTATATTTGATGCCACCAATCACACTAAATGATTTTGGAATATTACATTCTTGACAAGGATTGCTTTCATTTTGCTGATTATTGTTGATCTGCATTAGTTCTTTTCTCTATTCTGATT